GACTGAGGCAAGAAACCACTGTACAAATGAGTCAGATCTGTAAAACGGATATGCAAGCAACACTCAAGTTCTGAAAAAACCATAACTTTTCGCTGGAGTTTTTCGGCGGTGAATGCGAAGAATAATAAGATAATCACATTAACCTATATCGTCATCAAAAATATCTCGCCGTGGAATGTTTATTTTTTTTTTTTTTTTTGAGTTGACATTTTTAAGGTTGCATTTCTCAACGTAGTGTTATTTTCTATAAATTAAACTGTCGAGAATATAGCATTGCGCGCAGCTTTTTTCTGTAAAAGAGAAACCGTTAAAAATGTACCAGTTTGCCATTTCGTCATGCGCCCATGCGCCACTCCTTGGGTGTTACAGAAAGTGTAAAATTTACAGCCTATTGAAGTGATAATTTCTGATACATTGAGCGTTCTAAGGAGGTACATTGACAATTCTAAAGTGCCTGCATTCAAATCTTCTGATCTATTAAACAGCTTATAAGTTGACAAACAATTGCCTTCAGTTATCACTTCTATGCTTGGATGTTTAGGAATGTATGCACTGAATGAAATGTGTCTCTTTGCATGGTCATAAAACTTTCATTCATAACAACAATTTAGTGTCGAAATATTCTCATGATCTTGGAGCCAGCTGAAATGCGTTTATAAATAGTCAATGCTTGTATGGCTGTGAGATAAGTTTTGATGTAACTTTTCATACGTCTTCCTTACCCGATTAGGTCTGCATGTTACACCTGGCTAGTAAGAAACCTACCACCACATGCTCGCTTTAAAGCTCCAGAAGTCCGAACTAAATTGGTAGGCGAGGAAACCAAACAGTCCGACCCAATCGCTCTTATGAACTCATCACTAAAGACCGTTGATTCTTACCCCCAAGAATGGATACATGTCTATACTGATGGATCAGCATTTAAAGCTACCATTAAAGCAGGTTACGGAATCTACATAGGTTATCCCGATGGATCTGTTGAAGAGATTTTTGATGCATGCGGAGAATTCTGTTCAAACTATGAAGCTGAAATAATTGCACTGGAAACAGCAGTATACCACCTAAAGACTGTAATGGATGTTTACCCTTCAAAGGTCCAAAATATTGTCATCTTCACAGATTCAATGTCTGCCCTTCAAGCTCTGGAGGGCAGTGAACGCTGCAGAACTGACATAGCCAAGATAATCCTGGATGCTGATCAGCTTATTACCTCATACAACATCAGAATAGTGATGCAGTGGATTCCAGGTCACTCCGGCACACCAGGTAATGACAGAGCTGACAGATTGGCAAAGAAAGGAGCAACACAAGAACAACCACCTACAGCGACAACCCTCCAGACAGCAAAAACACTGATAAGAGCTATAAACAAAGAGACCTGGTTGAACAGATGGGCCATGGGAGACACTGGAAGAGAGGTTTATAGACATATGTCTGGCCCTGATCCTAATGACAGCATTAACCATCTAACAAGAAGGGACCAGGCCACCATCTTCAGACTTAGAACGCAACATATTCCACTCAATGGACACCTAAACAGAATACAGCCACAACACTCCCCAGAGTGCCAGCTATGTAACTACCCCTACGAAACTGCTGAACACCATCTCTTTGAGTGCCCAAAACTCAGTGAGACAAGAAGAACGCTACTCCCTCCGTGACCAGACAAGTGGAACACCTTGTACGGAGGAAAAGAACAGCTTGTGAAAACATGCAAATTCCACTACATGGCATTGGGCCAAAGGGCGAAAGCTCATGCGCCGCTGGATCGATAACAACAACAACAACAACACCTGGCTAGTATAGACGAAAGGGGTGCCCTAATTATAACATCTCTGGAGGTTGAACGAGTTATCGGGCTGTGAGTGGCACGCCTCCTCAAAGCGCAATATAACACTATCGTCTGGAAAGACGGAAAGGTGCCAGTCAATCTGGGGCGTGGAGCTGGAAGAAGCTAATGTGACTTAAAAACTAGAACGCTGACCTGCTGATCTCGTGATGTCATGTGTTCGAGTCTCTCTCATCCATCCATCCATTTATGAAAAAAAAAAAAAAAAGAATCTACCACGTTCAACCTATTGCAAGTTGTATCGGTTATAACTGTGGTCTAGTTTTGTGTATGCTAATTATGTTGGCTAAGAAATGTTAATTGCACGAAAACTAGTGGCTTAGACCGGTACTCTAGTACCTAGTGAGGACTGTGGGGAAGGGGACAGGTATGAACTTTACACACCCACACACATATATATAGACTTACATGGGAAATTAAATATTGTGTATATAACATACTCGTTCCGCACACCACAATAGGAATGCACGTATACGTGTTTGCAACCACACATGTATATATCCACACACGCGTGTACGCTCATTTGGAAAAGCACATATTCGTTTCTGCATACACACACGTGTACATGCATATACACACATACACCTAAGGGAATGTGGTGTAGCGGCCAGACGCTTGTCTGTGGATTAGAAGGCCATGGGTTCAGATTCCGACTCTGGGACGGATTTTTTTTTTAAACGGCATACACATCCAGGAAGACAGTCTAAAATGAGTAACGGACATAAACTGTGCGTAGTTGAGACGGCAGAAAAGGTTCTGTCGCCTGATGGAATGAATCCAACGATGCCAACAAAGAGAGCTTACAACACGAGAACTGACACACCACGAGGCAGAGGGAAACCTTGGCAAACAGGGATTGAAGGCGTCACCGACAACCCAAGATTTCACAACATCACGACACACCAAGTAACCGAGCGCGCCCTTGCTAGGTGACCTATTGTCTGTCAAACTAGCAGAACAATAAAGATACTGGACAAAAGAAATACGTGAAGGCAGAAGACGTGATATTGAGAACTCACACATTGATTGCCTGTTAGTTTAATAATATGAGGCAAGCACCGTATATCAAATACGCCTCAATAAAGAGGCCATTGCAGAAAGACTGGGTCACCACATCTGCTAAAAGTGGGGACTATTTCTTCTTTTTCCTTTTTTTGTTTTGTTTTTGGTTTTGTTGTTGTTGTTGCTGTTTTCGTCTTCTTCTTCTTCTTCTTCTTCTTCTTCTTCTTCTTCTTCTTCTTCTTCTTCTTCTTCTTCTTCTTCTTCTTCTTCTTCTTCTTCTTCTTCTTCTTCTTCTTCTTCTTCTTCTTCTTCTTCTTCTTCTTCTTCTTCTTCTTCTTCTTCTTCTTCTTCTTCTTCTTCTTCTTCTTCTTCTTCTTTCTTCTTCTTCTTCTTCTTCTTCTTCTTCTTCTTCTTCTTCTTCTTCTTCTTCTTCTTCTTCTTCTTCTTCTTCTTCTTCTTCTTCTTCTTCTTCTTCTTCTTCTTCTTCTTCTTCTTCTTCTTCTTCTTCTTCTTCTTCTTCATCTTCATCTTCTTCTTCTTTTTCACGTTCACCACCTGTAAACTCCGACTCAAATTTCTGGTTGTTCAACCACCTTTGGACTTTAGACTGGTTTTAGAACCTGAGTGTTGCATGCAAATACGTTTTACAGATCTGACTTATTTACATGCCGACTTTGGTTTCCTTGCCTCTCAGGCAGATGCACTCCGACTTTGAAGGAAACCCCTGATCAGTCGACTCTTAGAACATGCTTGTTGGGGAGGCAGTGGGTCTATTCTTGTGTTCCCCACAGTTAGCAACGGAACCAATACAGGGAGGGACAATTTAATTTAATAAGCTTGAAAGCAAAGACAAAACTCAGATACTGCAGCTGACCTTTTAAGCCAACTAAGGCTACTAATTAAAGGCACAAGGACAAAATAATAAGGAGAATGAACCAGACGGAGGATGACCTACGAGGAAAACAATAGGAAGATAAGATTAAGAGGAACACGTTGGGACACAGTAAAGGAAGAAGCGGTCTAGCTGTTAGGCTAGGAACGTATAGCCAGAGAGCTGGCGGAAATACCACAATCTTAGCCACGTAAGTGGCGCAAATAAACTTCTTCTTCTTCTTCTTCTTCTTCTTCTTCTTCTTCTTCTTCTTCTTCTTCTTCTTCTTCTTCTTCTTCTTCTTCTTCTTCTTCTTCTTCTTCTTCTTCTTCTTCTACTTCTTCTTCTTATTCTTCTTCTTCTTCTTCTGCTTTTTTCCCCCACCATTTACCTCAGCGACGTAAACAAACAAATAAACTAGACCACAAATATAACCGGAGTTTTTTTTTTCTAGAACGGAACGGAACTTACTAAATGACTAGTTTTTTTTTTTTTTTTAAACTGTTCTCAGTCGCTTTATCTTCATCATTATCATTATCGTATTTTGCAGTTTAGTTCTATCCCCAGCAAGTGGGCGATCATGCCTCTCCACAATCTGCGATCGGCAAATACGTGTATAAGTCCGTGTGTTGACATCCCTCCATGCCATGAAGAAGGGCTGACAGTAATCTTCTCGCCCTGTCTTCCTCTGTCTCTCTTTCCTCAGATCTTTCCAGTAGTCACAACATGTTCCAGTTTCCATCTTCTCATAACATGACCAAGAAATGCTAACTGTCTCTTTTGTGATAAGTTGTCTTCGAGCCCTCATCTCTTTCAAAACATTGTGGGTTGCCCTTTTTTGTTTGTTTTGTTTAGCTGTGCCAAGGATTCTTCTGTAAAACCACATCTCCGAGGCCTCTAAAAAGTGTTCAGCTTGTTTATTGTCCGAGATTCATAACCGTATGTTAAAACTGGCTCTATTTAGTATGCGAGAATTCTTTTTCTTCTCCAAAGACATATTTTATTACATAATATGTTCTTCATTTGATAAAATGCAAACTTGGCCTGACATATTCTGTTCTTGGTCTCTGTGATACAGGGTATGCAGAGAGAAAGATACTAGATATTGAACTGACATGAAAGCGTGTATGTATTAGAAATCACAAAAAGTTGCAGGGAGCATTATAAGAGCAATAGGTTTCCAGTGTTTTTGATTAGTTCGTAACTGTTATTATAGTTGCTACCTGTCATCTTCTACACATAACAATCAACAACTTTGAAATGCATGTCTTCTTTCAGCTGCAACTTATGACCAGATGAGCTGGAAGGCCATTGTGGGCTTGGAGACCGCCTCCGGGGGGTTGGGGATTGTCCTCACGATAATGATGATCATCTACCTGATCGGCTTCGGCGTGTGGAAGAAAATGAATGGTCTCAACATTGCGATGGTGGTCATTTGTATTTTGGCATGTAAGTTTTTTATTTCGTGTATACCATCGATTTTCCCAGCAGTCTCGAGAAGGTTCACACGATCACTAAATATGTGGAATAGTCGGATGTGTGGACTTCAAGGGCTGTAAACATACATGACGCAACATAGAAGAAGAAGAGGAAGAAGAAGAAGAAGAAGAAGAAGAAGAAGAAGAAGAAGAAGAAGAAGAAGAAGAAGAAGAAGAAGAAGAAGAAGAAGAAGAAGAAGAAGAAGAAGAAGAAGAAGAAGAAGAAGAAGAAGAAGAGGGATAAGGATGAAGAGGAGGAGACTGTACAAATCAAACAAAAAGACTCGTGTCCATACCATGAGGTGTATGCTTGTCATGTATATGACAGACAGACCTGACACTCGATAAGTGATGTATTTAACACACACAACCGCCTTTCAGTCCCAGGACATTTCCCGGTACGTAGTTTAGGCTGTGTCAAACTGTGAGCTCACATTAATTTCTTAATTTCACCTCAGTAGGAATTAGAACTTATGATAAATACACAAGAAACCTGGAATTCTGTGCCAGACTGCCAGTACTTCGTTTGTCTGTGTGTTATTTGTATTATACAGATTATCATTGGCCAGTCCATGTTGCACAATTGTGTTCGGGGTTCTTCTTCTTTTTCTTAGTTTTTACCGGCTCCAAACTCCGGCGGGAAGTTCTGGTTATTGACCTACATCGGCACCGTGGTCCTGTTCCAGGAATAACGTTTTGCGTGCGCATCCGTTATACAGATCTAGCTTATTTGTGGGCAGACTGTTGGTCCCTGCCTCTTGCACAGATGCGCTCCGAAGGAGCGCTGTGAAGGAAATACCCACTAATAAGTCGCCTTTTACCACATGCCTGTTAGATGGCAGTGGCTCTTTTCTTCTCTCCCCCCCCCCCCCCCCCCCCCAAAAAAAAAAAAAAAAATAGGGCTCTGGAAATCAGATGGGGAAGCTCGGGGTTCAATCCCGATCAGTTTCAGACTTCTTTTTCTGAACCCAGCCTAGGGCCGGATCAACCGTTAATTAAACACACTACGGGTATTACAAATGGAGGGAAGGACACAAATTATCAACAGTCTTGCAGCTGAGTGTTTGTTTTCTTGGTTTAAGTATGCATATATATTTTTGTAAATCCTATTAGAAAAAGGAGGGACAGGGGCCGACCAACACGAAGATGGGCACAGAATTTAAGTGATTCCTTGAATATGAAAGTACATGAGGCGGGAAAGCTGGCGCGAGACCTAGTTTCTTTCAAGCAGATGAGAGCGACGTTCCGCAAAGGACCTGCTACATGATGATGTTAAGAAAAAGAATGCTGCAAGTTAGGTTGGATACGTTATCTATATGAAGTACTGAAGCAGATGTGTTACATACGATTAGTTTTTGAGGATGTGATCAAAAATTTTAAAAATAAAAACAAGCAGGAGAAAACTTTCCAAAAAGGAACAAAGTGAAAGCATACAAAAACAGACATTATTTTCCGTCCTACTGTAAGTTGTGCTCAGTTTTGATAAATAAAATGTTTTAAATAGATTAGTATTGTTTATATTCTGAATCACGCACACACACACATTCACACACACACACATAATATATATATAGTTATATATATGTATATATATATATATATATATATATATATATTATATATATATATATATATATATATATATATATACACACACATATATATGGGGATATCGGTACTATTAATATATGGGTCGCTGGGCACTTGTGGGGGTCCCAGGAGAACTGCTCTTTGTATGTCAAGTGACCATTTAGATTTCACTCTCGTGAGTGGCAGTCGTAGGGCCCCCAGCACGCTGTTTACCCAGGGGCCCATAATGCTGTTAAGACGGCTTTTGTGAAAGGGGAGACGGGGTAGAGGCCGCACTAAAATCTTTTAAGTGCTGAGGAAAAGGGCCACGAAAGTCTTTTGAGTGCTTTGGGCATCAAATGGGTTTTGATCCGGCTCTGGGCTAGTCTCATTATATGTGTATTAGGTAATGTTCAGAATTGTTGGAAGCATCGCTCCAATGCGTTCATGAATGGAACGATGCAGCCATGAAATACAGCAACCACGTTCAGAGCGCAAGACAAGTGGCTTGACTACTTCGCCGCGGAGACCCCCCCCCCCCCCAGTAATGTACAAAAGTGACCAATGCACAAGCTTCAAATAAACATTCTTAATGTTGTTTATGTAGTATGGAATAAGTCTTTTCCCCGCTAATAGTTTGTTGCTATTTTTATTTCATTTCCAACAGGGTTGTCTCTGATAGCGGGATTGGTTGTTTACATCGTATTTTACGGCTTGGTCATCGTACGGAGCCCAGATGTTAACGCCCGCAGCTTCCCGTGGTCGCCCCTGATATGCCTGGTTGCCGCCATTCTGTTCTTCATAATCACATTCCTCATTCGCTTACGTTGTCGGAATCGCAATTATTTGAAGAACGCTATCCCAACATCGACCGATTCTAAGCTGGCCCTTAACCCATTCACCAAGAACAAGCTCATGATGCGGTATTTTACACCGTCGCCGTATAAAGAAGAGCGACGCCAGGCTCTGTATGCGGCCAACAGCCACTACAGCGACCAGAGTCACCTCCTTGGGAATGGATTTACTGTTGGAGCGATAGAACAATCCACAGGAGTGGAAAACATGGGGTTTAGAAACAATTACAGCAGGGCCATCGAATACAATGTTAATAACAGGATGAACGGAGCGGCGGTACCAGTTATTCAAACCAGTACTTTGCCAGTTGGTACTTTTGTTGGCTCTACGAAAACTGTAGTTGAGGGCGGAATGAGCGGAAACATTTATGACAGGGATCTGAGTTCGTTTGTTAACAATAACAATAAAGGAACTTACGGAACGGAAGTGGTTAAGAGAACCCTGGTAACCAGAACCGTTGGGGAGAACTCTTACGGAGCTGAAGAGGACCAAAGGCGAAACATTGCTTACCAACCAGAAGTTAAAGGTGTCAACACCAACACTGTGTACACTCATCATCACCATCAACAGCAGCAGCAGCAGACATCAGCAAGTCAGATACCGGATCGACGAATCGTCCAGGATGAAAACATTGTCGGAAACTCAGTGACTCTAAACCGTAACCGCGGGTACGATGCTTTTTCTGACATCGACACTGAAACCGTATACTACACCGGAAAAGAAGGATTCAGGCCCATAACTCTAGGCAGAGAGATGTATGTTAAAAATAAAGGACGACCTATTGCAACAAGTAGTGGTGTAACCACCAGTTATGTCGTGAGTTCTTCGCTGCAGCCGGTCAAAGAGGAGCAGACTATTGAGGAGGTCACGGTCATTGAAAGAGGCGCCGGTAGAGTGGCACAACAACACTCCAACTTCCGGGTTCCCGCTGACCACAGAGTGACCACAGGTCTCCAGAAGGCCGCCGACTATACTGTCCATACCCGTACCTTCACAGACAATCAGGCCGCCGATCAGGTTGTCCACACAGCAGGTAACCTGTCGGGGAAAACGTTCGCTTACAACGGTACATACATCTATCGACCGTATTCTGAATCTAGCTATTGAGTCTCTATTAGCACACCTTTTTCACTGTTCGTACTGCATTGCTGGACCAAATAGATACCAAAGTAACTTAGCCTAGGAAGTTTAGCCGAGGTAAAGAAGAATACGAGCGCTTTTTTCTTTTTGGACAACAGCTAGACTGCAGTTTTAGTTTGTAACATTTGGACACCGACAGTTTGTTTGGAAAATTCTACACACGGCAAGAACTTTCATACAAAATCTCAGTATTTTTCCATTTTCAATGTCTGCAACTAATTTACTGTTAATCCAGATTATCTATTCATGTATAAAATGATAGTCTGAGCTCAATTTGCAACATTTGAACACCGTCAATTCGTTTGGAAAAATTCTGCATGCGGCAATGTGTTGAAACAAATCTAAACTTTCATGCCATTTTTCGACAAATACATTTCGACACTGCAAGAAATATAAATTAAAACAAATTGCGCACAAATAGAACTTGTTATTTCAACCCACATTTGTAATGCATGTAGGGTCATTGTCATTCCGTGTCATGATCATACCAAATCAAACACAAAAAAGAATCTTTTTTTTTTTTTTTTTTAATATAACTAATTTGTCAACAACGAATTTATTTTTCTTATAGTCAGTGTCGGTGCTCTTAGTAGTTAGGTATACCCACCATCCTATGTCTTGTTTACTTACAATAAGTTCTAACACAGATGATCTTCCATGCCATGATGCCAGACTGTCCAGAATCTCCTCACTCTCGGCCTTGTCTCGGCCTCTGTTCCCCCTGCAACTTTCCCACCGTCATGATATGCCCCGGTTTTCTCCTCATGACATGACCACAGAATTGAGATTTTCTCATTTTGGTGTGCGCCATCCGTTCTTTGAGTCAGGAAGACATATCGCCATTACAACGAATTTGTGGTACAAATACAATCAAGAAAACAAATATTTCACAGTAAAACTATACACACTGTATAACAGCTGGAAGATTTTAAAAAGAATGTTTTTTGTTTGTTTACTTGAAATCCCTACTGTAAATAGAATGCTGTGTGCAAAGATACTGCAATAGAAAAATACGATGTTTCAAAGATAAATTATTATTGGTACAAATGTAGAGCCAACTTGTCTTCTGCTTTGATAAGGTAACTTGAAAAAACAAAGTGGCATATTCGAAGTTACAAAAATGAGAAATCAAATAATATACTGGTTATTTCATTATATGGCATATACCAATCCACCATTTGCACCAGTCACCGATTTTGATACATTATTTTGTACAGTTTCTTTAGTTGTTCCGATTGTTTATTAATTTTTTATTTATTTATTAATTAATTTATTTTATTTTATTTATTTATTTATTTATTTATTTATTTATTTATTTATTTATTTATTTATTTATTTATTTATTTATTTATTTATTTATTTATTTATTTATTTATTTCATCACCATTGTTCACACAATATGCACTATAAAGCCCTGACCTTCCCATATTAGTTCATGGAACCCATTTATTTCAGGGAGGAGCAGTAGGTGCGCGGGTTCCTGAGAGCTCAGGAGTCACCCTTAGACTTCTAAAACTTGGTTTTTAAAGAGAGGGTTTGGAGGTGGTGGTGGGGGCCTAAAACACCCTCCTTAATATTGTTTTAAAAGGGGTAAAAAATTAAAGGGAAGAGAAAAAGTTGGTAAGAAAGAACAAATAGTTTATGTTAGCTTTACAAAATAGATCACAGTAAACAAACAAAGGACGTTGCGGCGATTAGCCTTCATCAGCACATAAAGAACAACACAGTACACATACACAAATATGCTCTAACTATGAAGTGACTACATGGGACTCTAATATTTGAGGTTTTTTCTTTGAGCCCGTTCCCCTAGAGCAGTGGTTCTCAACCTTCCTAATGCCGCGACCCTTTAATACAGTTTCTCGTGTTGTGGTGACCCCATAACCACCATACAATTTTTTTCGTTGCTGCATCGTAGCCATCGATTGTGTGATTTCTGATTGTCTTAAGCGATCCCTGTGATCACGACCCACAGAATGAGAAACGCTGCCCTGTGAGGGGGCTCCCTCCCCCCCCCCACCCCACCCGCTTGTATATAAGTTATCTTTAAGTATTTATGTATATATTGCATGCTATTTTGAATAAATTATTATTTTTTAATAATATTAAAGTACGGTAAAGGACCATTTTCCACGCTTTTAGACGTATTGGGCATAGAGGGCTAGATCTATATTTTATGGACCAATCGGCACTCAGTGCTTGATGTGGTCAACATTACACCGGTCGTCTTTACATCCCAGGACTTTACATGGGAGCCAAGGTCATTTTCGAAAAAGAGGGACACTGGCAGACAATTCGGTCACGATGGACTTTAAGGGATAAGCCATTCTTTTCCACTAGATACCCGGACCAGCTCATCGAGGCCCGTCCCCTTTTTAAATGTTTGCTGAAATCATTTTGATATGTTGCGCCATACGGTGCAAATATTCTAAACTAAATATAAACCACAATACTGCATAAAGCAGCTTTTTTTTTAAAGGGACGAGCGCAGAATTAGAAGTATAATCTTGAATGCCTTTTTTTTCAAAGCCTTGATTAAGGACGCTTTTATTTGCGTTTCTGTGCAAAACATGGTATTTGATGTTTATGCTAATTTCAAATAAGTCAGAGAGCTCAAATGTTACACACAGTCTGTGTGGATGACAATGCATATGGTACAAAAATAATCTGTTTGTGTGTGTGTGTTTTCAAATGTTTTCTAACATTTTATGTGGTCAATAAGTAAAATATATCGAATTAGAGGAATTCATAGTTTCTTCAAGAGGAATTGATCTATGCATTCATCATTTAAATATTGCCTTTAATGCCACACTGTTTTCTGATAGGCTATTGAGCTCATCTACACTTTATGGAAGACAGTGCTATTTGTTAAAAAATAGCTTCGAGTTGGTTGTGGTTACAACGGAAGGGCGTGGGGGATAGGCCTCGGTAGAGTGGGGAGAGCTCCTAGTGAAAAAGAATTTTTAAATCTAAAAAAGGCAAAGTTGTCCCATTACCGTCTGCACGTGCCAAGGTATATCCGATAAACATCTGTCCAATGAACCAACCATCTATTTTTAACTCTGATCGTGCAGGTATGCGCTTAATTTACTACGACATACGATATATCACCATAACTTTAGCACCTGTTGCAATCACCATAACGTCTTGTCTGATTGTCCGATAACCGCAGCAGGAGATGTCCCAGGCCCGTGAATCATGATCTAGAGGATAAATGGGCCGAAACAGTTGTTGAATGTCTGCTGTCAAGATTAAAATTTCAAAAACATCAAGATTGTATCCTTCCAGACTTCAGGTTAATAAGAAACCTTCGGAGTGAGAGGTGGAAAGCATGTGTGAGTGTGTGTATGTGTGTGTGTGTGTGTGTGTGTGTGTGTGTGTGGTAGAGAGAGAGAGAAAGTAAAATAGACAGAGAGAGAGAGGGAGAGAGAGAGAGAGAGAGAGAGAGAAATTAGAGGGGAAAGAGAGAAACATGGTATGTGCTTTATTTAACTATGTAAATCCGCACACATGTTCTTGTCTGCAAAAAAACTGCAAACAGGACTGCAAAAACTTTTTGGGAATAGTACAAAAATTTTTTTTTAAAGTATCAAAACACACAAAAAGGTACCCATTTTTTTTTTTTTTTTTTTTTTTTTTTTTCATTTTATTAAAAACCGTTAAAACGTACAAAGACATCGGACGTGGTACCAAAAGTAAAGAACAGTTTTGCTCGGGAGGGGTTAGATAGCACCACTTTTGTACAAAAGAACCACCTTCGGCATGAGTATGTTAACTTTCCGCTACTGAGGAATGGGGTGGATCACATGTGGCAATATCCTAAGTGCAGTGGTGCAAACTCTTTATTCGTTCACATGTAAGTGTGATCGCAGAAGATGGCAAAGTACATATATTGCAAACTAGTAGTACATTATCTTGCTTGGTCCCTTGTCTTATTTGCGTATTGGATTTAAAATCTGTCCAATAGAAATTTTATATTCTTCTAAGATTCTATTTGCGCATGACCCAATCGACTGCTATTCTAAAAAGCATCGGTGATAAGCCGCAGCCCTGAGTCACTCCTGTTTCCACTGGGGAAACTGGGAAAATTGCTCTATTTTAAATGAAAATAACAGGTGAACAGATGATTTGATATCATCGTCGTGTCCTTTGACAAGTGAGAATACACTTCAGTCTCTTCATCATGGCCATTGGTTGTTAAATCTGTTCTATTCATCAGGTTCTGGGTAGTTAGCATCCTTTAAATATTTTCTGCTGTATGATGGTGTGTTGGGAACCGAACAGGCAGATAAACTGGTCAAGCTGCAGCATTTGATTGTGAATTTATGCATAGCAAGCTAGATGTTCTAAGCGCTCTTTGTGATCAAGTGGACAGTGCTGAGGCACAAACAGATCTTCACGGTCTGAGGAGAATGGTGCTGCTAGGAATGACTAAGGGATCTGGCTGACAACAAGAAGACATTAAAGATAAGTGCGAAACGGTTAGATAGATAGTTACTGGCACCATCAGAATTGGAATGCCACGCTTGTTGCTAAACGTGGGGACGCATCGCTTATGATAATATCCCGAGCTCTGTGATGTGGACTCTTAATTCAAAATAATTCAAAATTCTAATTATATTGATTATTTTCCTCAACGTCACCTCCAAGGTCGTCTTCTACCAATAAACAAAGATAATTTCAGACGAGAAGTAGAACCATTCAGGTTCGCAATACTACAATCACCAACGGTAGAACGAACGTTGGGGATAGAATGCTTTTTTCAGCATATCACACAAACAGGCAATAACAAAAACTAGCAAATAAGAACACATAAAATCACTTAGTCTCATGGTGAGGTCTGTCGGACTATCCCCACCATCAACAAAGAACGATGGAAAAGGCTCTGTGCTCGCGTGTCGCAACATTATGAAACTGTACAGGAGATGACCCTCTGCTACCACTGCTATTCCCAGTCGTCACAATGT